TTAGAAAACATGTAAGGTTTTTAATGCCTACACTTATGATGTTGGACGAATATGGTCTTAGTGAGGACTGTATGCATAAGGTTTTTACTAAAGAAAAAAATCCGAGAACTTTGCCATATTATTGTAATATTTCATTTCAAGTTTCACAATAACCAATTAAAAGAAAAATTAGAAAACGCAAATTTGATGACAAGAAGTCGGTATAAAGTCCATCGCTATTATAGCAAGGGATTTGATTTATCCATTTTTTACGGATTATGGCAAGTGAAAGAGTGGAAGAATATAGCATCGGAAGTAACTGTTTTGAAGTGGTCAGGAAATTCTAGACCAAACTTCTTTTGTACAGGAGGTATTTTATGAATGTCGCTTTATTAAAGACAAAAATTAATGTGAAGCTAAGATAAGTCCAGGAAAGGTTTGCTTATGAACTCGGCTTATAATAAGCAGTCATCTTCCGTATGTATGTAATTCACACTATGGGTTTATGCGCTCTATAGTAGCTTAGAGGACATGGATATACATACATTGTTTAAAAAATGTCAGCCAGTTAGTTCTCCGTGTAATGTTTATCCAAATTATATGCTAAATTGATGGATTAATAGAACAAAACTTGTTATTATAAGCAAATTTTAGAATTTCAAACAATTTTTTTTTAAAAGTTAGAATAGTTTGAATAGAAATGAAAAGACAACAACGAAAATTTTAGTTAATTTATTGAAGTTTGGCTGACTATACAACGCTGTTTCGAGTATTGTCAAGTAGTCATCATCAGTGGTCTTAGGAAATATTCAAATTTTTATTTAATTAGTTTATAGTTCGTATATAATTTGTTTGGACTGCAAATTATTTCGTTCCTATTTTTTGAAACAAATATATCGATTACCGCAAAGTACAATGAATCAAAGTACGTTATTTTAAAGGACAGAGTTATTTTCGCTTTATATAGTTTTTACTACAGTAAATATGCTAATACTGTCTACGCAGTTTATAGACAATATTTATTATAATTTATATATAGTAAGTTTTTTTACAATAGGTAGCATAATGGAGCTAAGGGCCTAAGTGGATCCCACTGCGATCGTCGGTATAACCTAATCTAACTTAAGTTTTTAATATTATAATAGGTTACGTTAGGTTATACTGACGATCTTTAGTGGATCCGTTCAGATTATATTATAATATAACAATTTTAGTTATTCATTATTATTTTTGTGCTATCTACTTTATATTTCTTGGGCTTTTGTGAGCTTTCACAAGAATTGAGATAAACTTGATATGATCAACTGAATACATTTTCGTTTTGAATTTAATAAAAAATACATGATTATAACTTTTAAAAAAAATTTACATGTTTTACTATATTTGCCATAAAAATAGATTTTTAACATCTCCAACTATTATAAGAAAATCGTAAACTCCATTAATTAGAAAGCTTTTATACATTAATTTACAGTCTTTAATCTTATCATTGTGTATTTTCACTTGCAATGTAAGTTTTCCCATCGTTTTATTGCACTTATTGAAATGTGAAAATGTTACGAAGTTCAAATGAGCCATGGTAAATATTTCTGAAATTATTCTATTCATGTCTCAGGCACAATGTGAAATGCTAAATGTGTAAAAATACAGTTTTTATTGCAACAAATACGCGTAATTAGCACCTTTCGACGTTCGATGTTTTCTCCCAGCAAACAAATTAATTTTCATGCAAATGCAGTTTAAAGAAAAACATTAACGAACGCATAAAAAGATACAGAGGCACTGAGATGTGAGATGCTGTGAGCTGGGCGCAGCGGCAGGCGTTTGAGTAGCGACATTATTTGACAAAAATAAAAACGCGGTACTACACAGAATCGCTACAATTTCAGTTTCCCACGCCAGTTTGTTTTCAGATTACGTACTACTTTTTTCCGTAGCCTCCGAATTCGGTTGAAATATTGCATTTCTACGAATGTCATCCAGTATCAGAAGGTCATTGTGGTGCTTAGAAGTTGCTAACAACTTCTCGTTTTCTCGTTTAAAATTTTATTTACATTTGGACTTCTGCACTGCCGTTGGATGATAAGAGAATTTGGTTGAAACGCAAATATTTTAGAGCTCTTCACTTTTGGACTTTGTTAGTCATCTATCTTTTCATTGAAATACAATATTTAAATAAATAAATAAAATTAATTGCATCAGTGGTGAAAAGTACTTCAAACTGAATCTTTTATGAGCATAAAACTCGGAGATTTGAGTACATGTATTTTATGACAAATAAAACTTTCTAGGAAATAATAAATAATTTATGCGGCACAAAAGGAGGTTTAGCTATTTTAGGGGATGGAACGCTCCTGTTTACGAACACCCATGTTGATCGGACACGCCTTTGATCAAATACCCCTGTTGATGGGTTATACTGTTAATTGGAATCCCTGTTGATCGGACAACTTTATTGTCGACACCCTTATTTTTTGGACACCTATATTGATTGGATACCCATATTCACCTATGTGCTGAGAAACCCATTGTTGTCGGATAACCTCTAATAATTGGGCCCCCTGTTGAACTGTATCTCTGTTGATTAATTTCCCAGTTGTTGTTATATTACTTATGATAGCATTTTTTCTGTTAATTATAAATAAGCCCTGCTGATCAGACATTTCTTTTGATCGGACACCCCTGTTGATCATTTGATTTCTTAATTGTTCAGACATCCATAGTGATTGGATCCATTTATTAATCGGACATTTTTATTGATCGAAATCCTTGTTCAAATACCACTGTCAATCGGATAACACCGCTAATCGAAAACTCCTGTTGATCGAACATCTCTGTTGTCAAACATCTTTGTAGATCGAGTATCATTTTTTAAGGTATGAATTTCTAAAGTTAAATTTTTGTTTATTTTATTTACTGGTTAGACACCTCTCTTGAACTAACAAAATTTGACTTATGATGATTGTTGCTCTAGAAAGTTTCTCTCTAACCTTTAAAATATTAATTTACATAACATGCGATAGAACCTGAAAATATATAGTTGAGCGTAAATGCTCTAACTACTAAACATCAATCCTATCTCGAGGTTAGCAAATAAGGAGATCTCGCGCTCCAGATTGTGTGTTGAACGCAAGGCCAGCAAATTTGCATCGGAAAAATTTTACCGCTACGCAACCTTCTTAGGGAGACCAAGGTTCTCACTCTAGTGTCAAATAAGAAGAAGAACATGCGAGTCTTCATATATGTGTTGATATGTTTGTATGTATATTATTTTGTATTTATAAAATTTTATTACAATTATTTAAGATTAACATAACAGAATATTAATTTTATATGTAAACTAAATATAATCACATTTAGGCTTACTTTTAAATGCAAGTTCAATTTTTTTTGTTTTGAATATTTAATTTGATTGTGGATTAGAGAAAATTTTTAGATTAAAACACATTTTTGTAATTTAAAATAATTCATATATAAATTATTTTGTAATTAAAGTATTAAATTTCAATTCTGTTTTATTTTAACATACAAGAGTAAACAGTAATAAATATTTTCGTTTTATTTGCTTGGTTAACTGAGCAAATAAAAATTTCACACTCCTACAAGCAGACAAGAGTACATCAATCACTTATCCAAGCAGAAATCAAATATAAAAGATACAAAAAAAGACAAGTTTCGACAGTTTACATATACGAAAGATATAAAAAATCGAGTAGCGATGGGAAATATTGAAGCGAAGAGAAAGCCTCTGAATTGACAGCGTGAAAAACGGTAAATTCACTTTATTCTGCCCATATTGAATTGTTTATCCTAAGCAAACATTATCATATTGTGAACAAACTCAAAGAGTACAAAAACAGTCTGAATGGTGCAGAGGTTCATGCGGCTATATTGATACAGTTTTTATTTATATTTATATTTATATATTATATACACATACATACATGCGCATATACATAAGTATCTATATATGCGTAAAAGTGAATTTGTTTGAGTATCTATTATAATTTGAGACGCCTACTTCAAGCGTTTCAAGCCTCAGATGATATAAGCAGTAAATCAAATCAATGAACAAAAGTGGCGTGAAAGGATACTTAATGCATGACACATGAACAATTCTGTTTGATGAATGTATAATTCGACATTAAGTCTCTGAAAGACTAACACAAATAAAATGCTTATACGCTACAGGATAATGGCAATTAAAGTGATAAAATGGATATACACGTACATATGGTATATAAAGTCAAATAATTCTTTTAATGATTTTTATTTTAGAGTTGTTATCTGTATAAAAATGTTATCAAAAAGCAGTAAAAATTAAGGATTTTAAAAAAAATTTATAGCGGACAATAAATCGATGAAGAGTCTGAAAAAAAAAATTCAATTTACTAGAACCTTTACTTCCTCATGGTTGTACATTTCATTGCACTGATGTACTTGCCAATTTCATTCTCTTTTTTTAGTGGGTGATAGTCATTGATATGGGCAAGGTTGGAAACATGAGGCGACATACATATTCTACAAGTGCATTGAAAGTTATATTTCAAAATGAAAGTAGAGTCCATAGTCTCACTCCAACCCCTACGCTCACTCAAAAATGTGATTGACCGATGATAAAGGTATGGGCGTATGCGTGCAAATAGTTTTGTGTAGCAACTAAAACTGAATCCATATGAACTAATGATAAAAAAACTTCTTTTTTTTTTATTTATGCTATTGAAATGCTTATTTATTATTGCATATTTACTCAATTAGTATAAAATATATTTATCAACGTATATCAAAAAACTAGTCGCGAGAAGATGTATTGAAGTCCTAACTTCACATCGTTTTTTTAGAAAATCGCCATCATCCAATACACTACAGGCAAGTAATAGTCATCCTAAAGTATAACAAAAAACTAATCGCATGATTTATTGAAGTCCTAACTTCACATCGCTACATTAGAAAATCGCCATTACACAATACGCAACAGGCAGTTAATAGTCATCCGATTTGGTGGTTCTAGTCGTTGCTTCTGTGTGAAAACGATTTTCTTATAACCCATCAAGAATAGACGCTTCTGAAGATCCAACTTAATATCGTTTCAGTAGAGATACAAAATAATTACTATAACGATGCAAGTTAGCAGTACGGAACATAAAACAGGCAATTTATTCAATGGGGTTGGTGTTGGTGGTTCCTGTAGTGGCTGCTCCTGCTCGATAACTTTTTTTTGTGCAGATCTCTAAAATATGTTATAAAAAGAATTTATATTGTCTCAAATTGTTTATTAAAAAAAATGATTAAATCTACCTTTCCGCAGTTTGGAATTTGTATATAATCCCCGTCGTTGTCAACAATTATTCGCTTTCCACTTTCCACTTCATTAACGATTTTCTTAAGATCTTGCGGTAGACTATTAATGTT